GCCTGGCCAGCTGTGTTCCTCCAGCTCTACACTTTCTTATCTCTTCTCCTCTGTGCCATCCCCCTTGCAGGTAGCACACGCTGCACATGTAGATGGACAAGGCTTTTGCCCTTAGTGCTTGTGGTGTCAACAGTCACAGTCTTTGGGTGCTGTCCCTGGAAACCACTGAGATTCAAAACTGAATGTAAGTGGCAATTTTGAACTTAAGCTTTCCAACTGATTATTCACCTAATTACGACTTTGAATCTATGAACCAATGCTGAGAATTACAGAGCAATAGGTTTTGATTTATTAGAAAGGTGTTTAGATTTGTTTTTAATTCATTCCCGGGATGAGGGTCTCGCTGGCTGGGTCAGCATTTATTGCCCATCCCTAATTGCCCAGAGGGCAGTTAAGAGTCAACCACATTGCTGTGGGTCTAGAGTCACATGTAGATTGCTAGACCACCATTTCCTTCTCTGAAAGGCATTAGTGAACCAGATGCTGTATGTTTGTTTCCTCAACAATCAGCATTAGATTCATAAAAACCAAAAGACCTGTGGATTCTGTAAATCAGGAACAAAAACAGAAGTTGCTGGAAAAGCTCAGCAGGTCTGGCAGCATCTGTGAAGGAAAAAACAGAGTAAATGTTTTGTGTCTGGTGACCCTTCCTCAGAGCCCTTCCTTCATTAGACTCTTAATGCCAGATATTTATTGAATTCAAACTCCACCCTCTGCTGTGGCAGGATTTGAACCCGGGTCACCAAGATATTACCTTGGTAATTAGCAGCCGAGCAATAATACCATTAGGTCAACGCCTCCCCGATTAGAGACTAAGATCGCCAAGCTTCCCTCCCCCCTCCAGGTATTGCTGTTTCTCCAGCATATCAGACTGTACTTTGATCATCCACAGCTCGTGAATAAAGTTTGTTTTTTAAAAAAGAATCTGTTGATTTTGGCAGGTTTTTAGTCCGGTGAGGTAAGGGTTAACACACAAAAAAGATGGAAAGCTACAAAAACTCAGCAGGTCTGTTGCATCTGTGGAGAGTTAATGTTTTGAATCTTCCTGGGAAGAAGTCACACTGGATCCGAAACATTAAGTCTGTTTCTCTCGCCACAGATGCTGGAAGTCTAAAGTAAAAACAGAAAGTGCTGAAAAAACTTAGCAGGTCTAGCAGCATCTGTGGATAGAGAAACAGAGTTAATGTTTTGAATCTTCCTGGGAAGAAGTCACATTGGATCCGAAACATTAACTCTGTTTCTCTATCCACAGATGCTACTAGACGGGCTGAGTTTCTCCAGCACTTTCTGTTTTTACTTCAGACTTCCAGCATCTGCAGCATTTTATTTTTTTTTAATTGAGGTGTTAGCACATTTTCTGTCATTGCTTCCAGCAACCTGAAGACATTTGAATGAAATAAATCCAGTGTGGGTTGAGTGATCATGTTTCTACAGCTCCTGCCCTCTCCGTTACTGGGTGCTGTTGTTCTGGCTTTTGAAACTGTGGCCAGTAAGCTACTGAGACCATCCCGACTTTTTTTTTTGTAACGGATAAGATTTTTCTCCTGGGAATAGATCAGTCTGTGCAAACGATCCCAGGCCCACTGTTGCCATGCTATTATATCTGGAAAGTGCCCAATCAGAATTGGCAACCCCAATCCCAGAGGGGTAATGGTGTCCTCCTCTTCATTAAATTTAATATTAGGAACAAATAGAATTTTGGTTTGTTGGGGAACTGAGGCATCCGGGGGTGAGGGTGTGGGTGTTGGGGGGTGAGTGTAGGTGGAAATGTAGAGTTGAAGCCCAAAATCAGCCATGAGCATGTTGAGTTCCAGATGGGCTGAATGGCCTAATCCAGCTCCCGTCTCTTATGATCTTAAAAAGAAAACACAAGGAAAGATGCTTGCATTTCTGCAGCATCTTTCATAACCATTATAGCTCATGCAGCACGTTGGAAGTGCAGTCATTGTTGTAGGAAGAACAGTTTGTATACAGCAAGCTCCCACAGTGGTGAGATAGTAACCAGGCAAGTTGTGTTTCCTAGTGATGTTAGTTGACGGATGAATAGTGCGCAGGATGACGGGGAGGACTGCTTTGAATAAAGCAATACGTCCACTCTAACAGAGCAATCTGGGTCTTGGTTCATTCTCTTCTGGGTGATGATATCTCCAACAATGTAGCACTCGCTGAGTACTGCACTGTAATGCCAGTCTAGTCACCAGATTGTGCTTTCAAACCAAGCCTTTCTGATTTCTGCTCTGAGGGTGCTACCCATTGATTGTAGCAACTCAGTTCATGCCTTCGTACTTGTCCAAATGAAGTTGCCAAGCAGTCACAGACAATCTTGTCACCTTCAGTTTCGCCCCAGGGAGTGAGAAAGGCTTGTGTCATTTCAGCCATTGCAATTGTTGTACACGAACGGCAGACAGGAGATTATCACATCATTGGTCTCAGGTTACAGGAAGGCCCGCTGGGCGTCCACGGGAAGGTGTTGAGAAGTTCACAGGTCACTCACTTCTTAATTCTGTCTGTTCAGGCAGCTCCTGGAGGTGACGTGTCGTCTGGCCAATACTCTGAAAAGGCAAGGTGTCCGCAAAGGAGATCGAGTGGTCATCTACATGCCAGCCTCACCAATCGCTGTGGCATCGATGCTGGCCTGTGCCCGTATTGGAGCCATCCACACTGTGGTGTTTGCAGGATTCAGTGCAGAGGCTTTGGCTGATAGGATTCGAGATGGTGAGAGACCATCAGTTTTATTTATCTTCCTTTTCCGCACTTTCTTTACAAGTTTGGTCGGTTTAAGTTTTTTAACACCGCCTTTTATTTAAAGATAACTCTCTAGGGCCTATACAAAAACAAAGTTGCTGGAAAAGCTCAGCAGGTCTGGCAGCATCTGTGAAGGAAAAAAGAGTTAACTTCTTCAGAGGAAGGGCCACCTGACCCGAAATGTTAACTCTTTTTTCTTTCACAGATGTTGCCAGACCGGCTGAGCTTTTCCAGCAACTTTGTTTTTGTTCCTGATTTATAGCATCCGCAGTTCTTTCAGTTTTTCTTTAGGGCCTATGACTTTGCTACTTTTTGCCAATGCCTCAGATTGCAAAGTAGGAAGTTATAACTGGGAAACAGCTACAGAATTAGCACATGAAAAACAGGGAAAACTACTAAAACTCAGCAGGTCTGTTGCCTCTGTGGAGAGAGAAACAGAGTTAATGTTTTGAATCTTTCTGGGAAAAAGTCACATTGGATCCAAAACGTTAACTCTGTTTCTGTCTCCACAGATGCTGCCAGACCTGCTGAGTTTCTCTAGCACTTTCTGTTTTTATTTCAGACTTCCAGCATCCGCAGCATTTTGTTTTTTAATTGCGGTGTTAGCACATTTTCTACAAGTTGCCGTGGTATCTTCAGATGATTATAAATGCACGTGGAGTGGACATGAGAGAGAATTCTGACTTTTTCAGCTGTTGAAAAGGCAGGGTCGGTCTCAGATGGTTAGTCTTGTCAACTCTGAGTCTGAGACGAATGAACATGCATGGGCCCCAATGTTCAATAGGAGTTGATGCAGCTCTTAGTGTCCGGAAAGGCCATTAACCTAAAAAAGTTAACTCTGTTCCTCTCTGCAGATAACAACTGCCCTGCTGAGTATTGCTGGCATTTTCTGTTTTTACTGAAGTGTTCCAACATCTGTGGTATTTCACTTTGGTAAATGTGACAGCTCCAAGGTCCCTTTATTCTTCAACAACAACTACAACAACAAAAACAGAAGTTACTGGAAAAGCTCAGCAGGTCTGGCAACATCTGTGAAGGAAAAAATCAGAGTTAACGTTTCGGGTCCGGTGACCCTTCCTCAGAACTGATGGTAGCTGGGAAAACGTCGGTTTATAGGCAGAAAAAAAATCTTTATTCTTTATTCTTCTACACTTACAAACATACACAATGGGATTATCAGTAGACCATTCAGCCCCTCGAGCCTGTTCTGCCATTCAATAAAATTACAGTTGATCAGTTTGTGTTTTGAGTTCCACATCCCTTACTATCCCCGATATTAATTGATACCCCTTCCTAATAAGAATCTATCTACCTCCACCTTAAAAGTGTTCAATGACCACCGCACCCCCCCCAACCCCCCGACCTCCACCGTCTTCTGAGGCAGAGTTCCAAAGTCCCTCCATTCCCTCAGAGAAAAAAAATGTCATGTCTGACCTAAAAGGGCGACCTCTAATTATAAAACAGTCAGTACTCACCCACAGGAGGAAGTGTCATTTCCACACGCAGTTTGTTGATGGAAAGTGATGGCCTAGTGGTATTGTCATTATGCTATTAATTCCAACAGCCAAGTAACATTCCAGGGACCTGAGTTCAAATTCCCTCATGGCAGATGATTAGAGTTTGAATTCCATTAAAAAAAACTGGACAGGAAGACAGGGTTCACTAATGTCCAATTTAGGGAAGAAAATCCGCCATCCTTACCTGGTCTGGCCTACGTACAACTGCAGACGCACTGCAATGTGGTTGACTTCTGAGCTGTATTTACATCCTTGCTTAAATATGGATTTCACAATGGAGTTTAATTTAAGGAGCTATAGGGTGAATTGTAAAAAGAAAATAGGGAAGCAAAGAGGAAGTACAAAATAATTAATGACCGGTAAAATTAAGGAAAAATCCAGAGCTCTTTTATCAGTACATTAAGAGGACAGGATGACTGTAAAAAATGGTTGGTCCTATCAGAGAAATACATGGTAACTTGTGCATGGAGGCAAAAGATGGAGCAGCACAGTGGCTCAGTGGTTAGCACTGCTGCCTCACAGCACCAGGGACCTGGGTTTGATCCCAGCCTTGGGCGACTGTCTGTGTGGAGTTTGCACATTCTCCCTGTGTCTGTGTGGGTGCTCTGGTTTCCTCCCACAGTCCAAAGATGTGCAGGTTAGGTGGATTGGCCATGGGAAACTGCTCCATAGCGTCCGGGGATGTGCAGGCTAGGTGGAATTAGCCCTGAGTATTGCAGGATTGTAAGGGTAGGGTAGGGGGATGGGTCTGGGTGGGATACTCTTCAGAGGGTTGGTATGGATTAGATGGGCCGAATGGCTGGCTTCCACGCTGTAGGGATTCTAAGATGTGACAGGATTCCAAATTCGTATTCCTTTGTCCTCACAAAGGAGACGGATGATGCAAACATTCTAGTTACAAAAGAGGAGTGTGAAATTGTAGGTAAGATAAGCGAAATATGAAGGAACATATGGGAGGAACTGCCCACCTTGAAGGTGGATAAATCACATTGGCCCAATGAATTGTATCCCAGACTGTCAAAGGAAGCCAGGGAGGAAATAACCTATGCCTGACAGCCATTTTCCAATTCTCACTAAGTACACGTGAGATACCAGAGGAGTGGTAATCTGTTAAACATAATTAAAAAGGGTGAAAGGGATAGGGCAAATAACCATAGGCTGGTCAGTCTGAAATTATTATTGAGAAATAGAATTGACTGTCATTTAGCAAGGCATGGATTAATCAAGGGCAGTCAGTATGGTTTCAATAAGGGAATGTTGTGTCTTGCTAACTTAATTGTGTTTTTTTGAGGAAGTAACAAGGAGGATGGATGAGGATAGTGTGGTGGATGCTGTTTCCATGGATTTTACTAAGGCATTTGACAAAGTTTCACATGGTAGACTTGCCAGAAAAGTTAAAGCCCGTGGGATAATGGGAATGTGGCAAGTTGGATCCAAAATTAGCTCAGTGACAGGAAACAAAGGATAATGGTCTGTTGGCTGTTTTTGCAAATGGAGAGTGGTTTCCAGTGATATTCCACAGGGATCAGTCTTAGGTCCCTTGTTTTTTGTGGTATATATTAATGATTTGGAATTGATTGGGAAATCTGCAGATAACACAAAACTTGGCCACATTGTTGTTACAGGATGGCAGGATGATATCAATGATTTGGTTGAATGGGCAGGAAAGTGGCAAATGGAATTCAGTCTAGGGAAATGCAAGGATATGCATTTGCGAAGAGCAAACTAAACAAAGGAAGTGATCAAGAGGGATAGAAGAAGTGAGAGACTTTGGAGTCCATGTCCACAGTTCCTGGAAGATGGCAGGGCAGGTGGTTAAGGTGATAAGGAAGGAATATTGGACATTTTCCTTCATTGTGTGAAATGTTGAATAAAATGCTGGAGAGACTCTAATGATGACTATATGAGACACTGGCTAGGTCACAGCTAGCGTTTTAGTTCTGGTCTTTGCTTTACAGGGAGGACATAATTGTTCTGGAGAGAATACAGAAGAGATTTATGAGAATGTTGCTAGGCTTGAAAATTGTGGCGGTGAAGAAAGATTGGATAGACTAGGGTTGTTTTCCTCAGAAGACTGTAAGGTGACTTAAGTGAGGTGGAGGAAATAATGAGAGGCTTGGATAAAGTGGACAGGAATGACCTGTTTGCACCAGTAGAGAGGTCAATTACCAGGAGACACAGATTTAAGGCGATTGGCAGAAGGTTCAGAAGGAACATGGGGAATAGCGTTTTCACCCAGAGTGTGGTGGGGCGTCTGGAATTTGACAGCGAACAAGGATCACTGGGCTTGAAACGTTAATTCTGTCTCTGTGTTGATGCTGCCTGACCTGCTGAGTTTCTCCAGCACTTTCTATCTTTGCTATGGGCTTTCTTTGGGATTTCTCCTCAAGCCGTATGGCCCTGACAAATGGGAGTGACATATAAACCATAAGCCACTTTTACTGCGTGGTCCTGTAATGGCTATGTTCTCATTTGTAAAGCACAGTGTGAGATTGTGATCACTGCCAACCAGGCCCTGAGGGGTGGACGGGTCGTTGAGTTGAAGAAAACTGTGGATCAAGCAGTGAAGCAGTGTCCTTCTGTCAAACGGGTGCTTGTCGCCATGAGAACAGACAACAAGGTCCCGATGTCGGATATTGATATCCCCCTGGAGGAGGTACGTGGCTGGGATGAAAAAGCTTGCTTACACTTTCTATTTGTTTGTCACAGATCATGAAAGATTTACACATTTCCCTTCACAACCTCAGACGTACCAAACACCTAATCACACCCTTAGGCTGTGTAGTCAACATCACAATGCAGCAGTTTGTGTACAGTGTATTGTGATAATGGTCATGTGTTGTTTAGGCGAGGGATAACAGTAATAACCCTCCCCTCTCCGTTTTTTTTCCTCTGAAATAGAAAATCTTTCTTTCTGGGATATGAGCATTGCTGGCACGGCCTACATTGATAGGCTTTGAAGAGCTGGTGGTGAGCCACCATCTTGAAGATCTGCATGTGGTGTAGATCCTACCCCAGTGATCTGATATAGCTGAGTGGCTTGCTAAGTCATTTCGGAGGGAAAGTGTTATGGTGCTTCTGGAGTCCATAAGACGTAGGAGCAAAAGCAGGCCGTTCAGCTTATTGTGGTTACTCAGCTACATGGAGGGCCTGAAGATGTAGAATCATATAATCCCTACAGGGCAGATAGAGGAGGCCATTTGGCCCTTTGAGTCTGTACTGATCCTCCAAACAGCCAAGCACCCAGACCCAATCCCTTACCCTATTCCTGTAACCCTGCATTTCCCATGGCCAATCCACCCAGCCAGAACATCAGGAGCAATTTATCATATTTAATCCACCCAACCTGCACATCTTTGAACTGTGGGAGAAAACCAGACCACCTGGAGGAAACCCACACAGACACAGGGAGAATATGCAAACTCCACACAGACAGCTGGTCAATGCTGGAATTAAACCAGGGACCCTGGCACTGTGAGGCTGCAGTGCTAATCACCAAGCCACCAGAACAGCATTATTGCTCCTTTTTAAACAGCAAACCTATATTTTCACTGTTGCCATTTTATTCCAGATTTAATTAATGAATTGAATTGAGATTCTCATAAGATTCCATAGTGGGATTTGAACTCTTACCTCCAGAGAATTGGTTCAGGCCTCTGGATTGCTGGTCTGGAAGCATCCCTCTTTACATCTGCTCGAGAGGTTGAGCAAGAACTAGGTATAATGATTCATCTAAAAAGATGGTAAATCCAACTATGTAGCACATTCTCACTCGAGTCGGCCTCTGGCATGTGCTGCTATCCATGGAGCAGACTGTTTTCATCAGAGCAATGTTTAAGTCAGGCACCAGTGACAGGAGAGTATGGAGGCCTGGAGTAAGGCACATGAATGTGTAAAGAATTAAATGTCCAATTGGGCATCTGGCATCTATAAAGTGGACTCAGCCTGCACCGTCATTGATTCTGCACATTGGAAAAGAACTGAGCCGAAAAGTTCCGGTTCAGGCATCAACCCTAAACGACGGCCTACACTATATTCCAACAATTAGTCCCACAACCTTAGACCACAATGACTCACAGAGTGTTTCATTACTTCTGCCATTTTTCATGCTGATATAACTGTTAATCACTTACAGAGTCAGACAGTTTGACCTTTTTTCTTGGTCAAGCTGCCGTTCTGTCATCTGGCTTCCTTCCGTAAGCAAACACGCATTGGCTGACCACATGGTGTTACCGTCCACCCTCCGCCTCCCCCACCCCTCTGCTGATGGCGGCAGCCATCTTTTGCCCAGTGAGTGGGCCAAAACCCTTGATGAAGATGGCGCAAAAATAAAAGGCCTTTTCTGCGTGTGTGTGGGAAAGTCAGAAGTTTCAGATAGGTTCATCACGGTATCTTTGTTGCTCCATTACTTTTATGTATTGCATGACTCAAGAATGGCTCGTTTTCCAGGAAGTGATGAAAGAAGAAGCAGCCTGTGATCCAGTTGCCATGGAGAGTGAGGACATGTTGTTCCTGTTGTACACATCAGGCAGCACTGGGAAGCCAAAGGGTGTGGTACATACGCAGGCAGGTTTCCTGCTGTATGCAGCTCTTACACACAGGGTGAGTAAAGGCCGAATAGGCAGCTGCCCTGAAACTGTGACAGAAAATGTTGGAAACGTGCTGAGGTCAGTCAGGGTGCATAAAGACAAGAGAAAGCTTCAAATTTAAAATGCGAATCCCTGACGTCAGGAAAAACATTCATAGTCTATTCAGCCTACTTCAATTTAGGGGAAGGTGATGGCCTAGTGGTATTGTCGCTGGGCTGTTAATCCAGATAATGTTCTGGTGACCAGGGTTCAAATCCTGCCACAGCAGATGGTGGAATTTGAGCTCAATAAATATCTGGAATTAAGAGTCTAATAATGATATTGTCGATTGTTGGGGGAAAAACCCATCTGGTTCACTAATGTTCTTTAGTGAAGGGAGCTGCCATCCTTACCTGGTCTGGCCTCCATGTGACTCCAGACCCACAGCAATGCAGTTGACTCTGGGCAATTAGGGATGGGCAATAAATGCTGCCTGGCCAGCAATACTTTCAGCCTGTGAATGAATAAAGGAAAAAAAAATTCCTCCTTTAAATATTTAATATCAAATCACAATCTTTAGTAAAGAATTAAAGTCACCAAAGTCCTACTGGACCATAGGGCGGCTCTCTCATTATGGAGAGATGACTGGTGTTGGTTTAATATGAGGGTCACCGCACCTCAGGCGAGGGGAGAGGTTGAGAAGGAGAGTCTTTCATGGTAACCTTAGCTGGGAATTGAACTCACCCTGTTGGCATGCCTCCAACCAACTGAGCTAACCGCCATCCCCACCCCCTTGAGTTAGTTAACAACTAATTCAATGTGGTAGACTATGGCTGTGGTACAGAGATTTCCAGAATTGGCAATGAGTCAACGACATCAGAAACAAAATACTCTGGAATGTTGGAAATAAGAACAGGAAATGTTGGAGTGGGTCAGACAGGTGAAGGCTCCATTCTTTCGTGTGGGGCTTCTGATGGTGGGATCTATTGCAAGTGGGGTGTAGGTCGGGGTATATTGTTGTGTAGGGGTGGCCTGTAATTTGGGTGAGTATGGGAAGAGCAGGGCAAATGTGGATGGGGTACAGAGTTGTGATAGGAATGGAAGAGATGGATTTTTGATGGACAGGGGAGGGGGCCAAAGGGCCTCTTTCTGTGCTGTAAAAACTCTACGACAAGGACAGAGGGTAGAGTATAGAATGAGCAGGGTGTAATACAGGTTGGGCATAGAGTGAACAGCTTGTACTGCAAATGGGGTGGAGGGTGTTGGGTTATAATATAGTACATAATGGACTGGGGTGCGCGGTGAGCCGGGTCTAATGCAGATGGATGTGGTAGAAAGGGAGTGGAGTATAGAGTGGAAATATGGTAATGGGGAACGGGAGTGGTGGTTGGGATAGAATGAGAGTGGGGTTTGTGATGGAGTGCGAGTGGGGTGCGGGGTGCAGTAAGAATGGGAGGTAGAATGGAATGGGAGTGGAGTCTGCAATGGAATGGGAGTGGGTGTGGGGTGGAATGGAGGTAGGATGTGGATTGAATGGGATGGAATGGGAGGGGGTGTGGGATAGAATGGGAGAGGAGTCTGGGATGGAATAGAAGTAGGGTATGGATGGACTGGGAGTGCGATTTGGAATGGAATGGGAGTGGGGCGTGATGTGGAATGGGAGAGGGATGTGGGATGGAATGGAAGTAGGATGGAGGAGAATGGGCGTGGGATGTGGAGGGGAATGGGAGTGGGGTGTGGGTTGGCGTGGGAATGGGATGTGGGGTGGAATGGAACTGGGATGTGGTGTGGAATGGGAGTGGGATGTGCATTGGAATGGGAGTGGGATGTGGGATGGAATGAGAGTGGAATTTGAGATGGAATGGGAATAGGATTTGGAGGAGAATGGGGGTGGGATGTGGAGGGGAATGGGAGTAGATGTGGGATGGATTGCGTGGAGGTGTGGGATGGAAAGAGATGGGCTATGGGGTGGAACGGGAATGGGATTTGGGGTGGAATGGGAGAGCGTGCTGGGATGGAATGGGAGTGGGGTGTGGGATGGAATGGGAGTGAGATGTGGGATGGAATGGGAACGGGATCTGGGTGGAATGGGAGTGGGATGTGGGATGGAATGGGAGGGGTGTGTGATGGAATGGGAATGGGATTTGGGGTGGAAGGGGAGTGGAGTGTGGCATGGAATGGGAGTGGGGTGTGGGATGGAATGGGAGAGGGAACTGCGATGGAATGGGAGTGGGGTGTGGAATAGAATGGGAGAAGGAACTGGAATGGAGTGGGAGTGGGGTCGGATGGAATGGGAATGGGTTCTGGGGTGGAATGGGAGAGGGTGTGGGGTGGAATGGGAATGGCATCTGTGGTGGTATGAGAATGGGATCTGGGATGGAATGGGAGTGGGCTGTGGGATGGAATGGGAATAGGATTTGGCGTGGAATGGGAGTGGGATGTGGGATTGAATGGGAGATGGGTCTGGGATAGTGTAGGAGCGGCTTGTGGGTTGGAATGGGAGTGGGATGTAAGATGGAATGGAATGGGGTGTGTGATGGAATGGGAGAGGCGTGTGGAATGGAATGGGAGTGGGGTGTGGGATGGAATGGGAGTGGGGTGTGGGA